GTTGATCGTCATGTCTTCTTGGTTTTCATTTGATGCTATAGACTGACCACTCGGTGCTGTAGCAACTATAGGTACTCTTTCGCCGTCAACAGTGCTTTTTGCAAGGCTAGTCACGGTGGGTGCAGGCTGCATGAGCACTGTTGGATTAGCCTCATGTATAACTTTTGAAGCTTTCACAGACGAGGTAGCAAGTGACGAGGACAAGACCACATTGGATGCAGATTCGACGTCAGGACTCATATTTCGGTAGGCCTGGTGTTCGAGATCGCAACGTCGGTCCACGATCTGCTGGTATGCGTGTGCACGATTTTCTTCAAACGAGACGGCTTCACCAGTTGTGGATGTGGTCTGATGGAAGTCATAATTTGATATCTCGACTTGTTTTTTTCTAAGCTGGGACAATTGCACCTTCTTGTCCCCTGCAGAGAAATTTTTTAGTGGTTTTTGTGCAAGCATCTCTTCCTCTGTAGCCATCCCATCTATCCGCTGTCGAAGCGTCAAATAACGACGTGTCAGAGGTGATCGCCGCTTTGGTTCATTTTGAGGTACAGAAAATTCATCATCCACAAAAACCTGTAGCGGGCTGACATGTGAACGGCTGGTCAGCGGCGATTGACAGTCATAGTGTGAATTTGCTGTGGCTTCATTTTTTCGCCGAGATCCGTTTGGATGCCAACCGCGCGGTTCTTGTTCATTCTCTTTGTCCTGCTGCTGCAAAGTCACGAGCTTTTTCCAATTACTATTACCGTCTAAAGGATCAACAGAGTGTCTAACAGGATCCTCGTAGACCCTAAATACCGGTTTGTGCGCATTTTCTTTCTGAATGCGTTTCAATCGAGTCGATGCTCGGTGAATGTGAAGCTGTTGACGCTGTGCATCATTTAGTTCCAAAATTCCATACGTTGACAAGCTTTCAAGTGCACGACGGTGTGTTACCTCGTCTATTCCACAATCACCGGTCTCCTCAGTCATCCTCAGCCATTGACGACTCATTCGTCTTTGAAACTCATTGTATTTCCTTTCTAATAGATCTTGTGGCTCTGCATTCCTGTACTCAGCAACATGATCAGTAAGTCATCTAAAGGTGCAAGCCTGACCTCAATCGAAACTCGTACTTCTGGCTAGCTTTCAGATAAATTTTGTGTGCTTGCGGGTAATTGGCCATCGTCTCAAGAACGTATGCCCAGCCAATGTAGAAGAGCGAAACACGCTCACCAATCTTGTTCTGGTATAAAAATTTGAAAATATCTTTAGGATTTGATACCAAGTCTGCCTACAGTCACACTTGTCAGCATCAAATTTCGTGTTCAGTGTCAGCATCCAAAACCCTCACGTATTGTATCCAAAGTCGAATGTAGCGCATGTCGTTCTTATACCGCAAATTGTCTTTGAGCTCGCGCGTGCATTTTTCCAGCACTGTGAATTTTTTGCGTGTGTCCTCGGGCATTTTGACTTCGAGCCAGCGCACGTACTCGATCCAGGCGGCTAATGGGTCATCTCCATCATAGGCCACGACAGCATCTTCCTTAGCCTTTACTTCGTACTCCAGGCGCATCTTCGTCTGGAAAGAGTTGTGGTCGCGCAGGGACTTGTTCAGATCTGTTACGTTTCGGCCACGCTTTAGTGGTAAGACATTCTCCTTGGACGATTCCCATTCGAAAACTTCAGCTGTACGCTTGCGGCCAACGAATGATTCATTATGTGGAAGCTGTCTCGTCATCGGCGCCTTGAGTTTGATATCCGCTGCCTGTCGCATTCGCTAGCTAGGCTTGTTTTCGCTATGGTCAAATGCGGACTCCTCTTCTTTTAAATATTTAAAGATCCCGCCAAGTTTGGCTTTAGTGCAATACATCATATCGAGGGCCAAATTCTGAACTCTCAACCTGTCTAAAATTATACTACTACTTTCTCGCTGTTTCCTGAATGTTAATTTTGATTTTAGCCCATCCGCAAAGTCAGATTTAGGCGATGTTGTTTTGAGGCCCGTTGTCAGATTTGGGCTGGGCGATGCACCCATCTGGAGTCAGATTTAGCTGGATGATTCTTATCGAGTGCTACATATGCAGTTGCACAAGTTGTCTTCCTTTGTAATACCCGGGTTCCCAATAGGTATAGGAAGTCTTATCTCAGCTGATACCAATTCGGTCACCATCGCGTCATAACTCGGTGCTTAACCACTGCACTAGGATGAGTCTATTGGAGCAGCCCTGAGTGTGAAAAGTCTATAATGTCAAATCTTATTGTGATGCAGAGGTTGGCCGACAGCTGCAATGGGGTTGCCGTCCACCTCACGCCGAGACAAGTTAATCTTACGAATTTGCAATAGCAAAAAATACTCGGGGAGGAATTCTTTCGCTCCATCCGCCATCCTCTCAAAAAAAACAGGCTGTATTTATATTATCTCTTCTTAATTTCAAGAGGGAAAATCAAGTTGAGCTTAAATGGTAATAAATATGCGTTATTATCTACAAAATAAAAACTTGTGAACACTTGTCCCACGAGACCGATCCGTACCAGTAGTATCATGATACCTCATATGACTTGGTGCTTCTGAGCCTTGCTTTGAGTCAGACGGAAAATAGTGACAGTAGTATAGTATGTACGTACACCATAAAGCGATGCACACATTCCTTCTCCTCCAAGGTTTATACATCATTGGATCCACACTCATCAAGATTTCGCGCAACGGTGAGCGCTTCAAAGGCAACCAAAGCGCCAAAAGTTCCTTTTCCACCACTGCATCTAATAGCATATGTTGGACCTGGCTCAGCAAGCTAAGCTTACCTGTCCGCAAGCGTGATAGTCACAGTTATTTTTGCAGACGCCATCACGTCGTATATTGTATTCAATCCATCAAAGCAGCTCGCCGTATCGTGATTGATCCTTTACACGCCAATGCGTGTGAGTCTTTTGTTCAAAAGAGAGCGATACATGCGCTTTCTGACCCTCCAGGTCACCATACCGTCAGCGCCTGGACCAACAACGGTTAGTAAATCCGTACACTCCATGAGAGCCATACCGTTTGTATTGGCAGAGATGCAAAAGCGTATCTTACTTAATTCGCACTGGGTGAAGAAGCACGTCGCCTCGCCCGTCTTAAGCTATACGAGTCAACTTTAGCCAGACTAAAGAGTCTTTGGACGCTTGACTTTGCAATGTACAAAAATGACGTAGTCTTAGAGATAGATGGTCGCCACCTTTGTCAGCAGCCTCACTCAAACCCATTGGACAGCTGAGACAGCTATCGGTCAGGTCTCAAACTTCGGTCCTCCCTCGTCTCTGGGAAGCGTGATGCACTAAGCGACTATCTCTTGCTCCCCTCGAGGGGTACAGACGGAGAGCCGCCAAGTCATCAGCGTCGGCAGAGCAATCATGCCGAAGTGGGACCTCAAACTACTATGAGATCCTGATGTGAGGCTATCTCTTTCGGCTGACCAGATACTGTTCATAGCCATTGTCGGGCCCAGTATCTTTTCTGCTTAAGTGTGAATCACCCCTTGCGCATTGAGCAGAACCTGCGACGAAGTACCCTCCTACTATCAGTTTCGACTATATCTACCGATTATAACGGCACGTCGACTTTCTTTGCGAGTTTAGGCGCGTGTGGTCAAAATCAACATGAGTCGGTTTCGGGTGCAATCTCTCTGCTAAGCAATTGAATTGATTGAATTGAGCTACTCAAAACGGCTCAAGACTGTACTGCTGCCCTAGAGCCGAAGTTAGCTCAGCTACACGTTATATCCGACTGGCTTGTTAGAGTCGGGTTGCGGTGCCGTTTTAATGATTGCATGTAAAGCGTTGGATGCATTTGGATTTTCTTCGGGATATCAGGTGTATGAGTCTCTTTCGAACTACGGTCCGATGCAGCGAGCTCGTGACAAGGTATTGTAAAGCTTCTGACGGTAGGTTGACTTTGCTCGAATAATCTACTCCGTCCTTCATATCTATGTGTTTAAACTGCCTCTGGTATCTGAATGTTGCCTTTGCATATCCTAACTTTTAGTCATCGCGTCGCACGCACGGCGCACGAAGCTCATTATTATCTATAAAAATCCCTCACTTCATCCTTAAAAAATGATTTCAGCAAGTCCAATCGTATTGACAGTCCCTCCCAACCGGAGTTACATCATGGACGCGTCAAAATAACACAGAGGTTAACCAAACCATTGTATAACTGAGCTAAACACCATGGTGGTATGTATTGCGTTTATCCTAATGAGTAATATTGCTTCGTTCTAGCACTACGATCGCTTAAAGAGTCCCGTAGACCATCTGTCTGAAGGTAGTCAGCGACTAACGAATTGATGTCCTATCTGGTGCGGAGCGCCTAATCAAAGGTCGACGAAATCTTGAGATAGAGCGCAAATTTTAATCCGAAACAATCGCCACCGACAAAACTGTCTTGGCATGAAACTTTAGTGCGAAACAGCTTAGATGTTGTCTCACAAGAAAACGTGTTGTTGATAGCAGCGAGATAAGCTAAACTTACGCAAAAGAATTCCAAAACTACACTGTCAGGATCACGGGTCACATCATTTAACGACAAAAATCAAGTCCATGCTATTGAGCTATTAATATATTTATATTACAGGGCTACTCAAAAGCTGATACTCTGATATACACTCCATTATAAGGCGACTGCGAGGTCAATAGTCCTGGTTTGAGCCATGTGATACGTATTTTGAGCTTAAGCACAACTTTGTGAATGATACAACCTATGTTCTTTTGTTATCATCATGGTTCTTGTAAAAAACAAGCGTTTGCACTGTATCGTTACAGCTTTTACGGATGACCACCGAAGTGATAAATACTTCAATTTTGTATAAATGCTGTGCTTGGACCTCATACCTAGAACCGCTTTAGAGATCTTCCATTACAAGTGCAAATTACTGAACGGGTTTGCGAACTATTGATCTTCTACGTCGATCGACAACAAGCTACGATGCCTGTAGAAGAAATGGAAAGATATTTTTGTCTAACTGACGCGAATAATAATAATGCGACAGCTGTGAGATTCGAACTCATGTGGGTTGTCCCATTAACTTAGCAGGCTAACGTCATAACCACTCGGCCAAGCTGTCACTTCTCAATTTGCCTCGTCGTGATCGAGTCCACCAGACCAGTTTGCGAATACCCCAACCCTACCCTACCAAACGCCTCGTCTCCATGGATACCGAAACCAGCCATCATTTGACGATTCTCGCGCAAGATGATTGTGTGATGGGTGTAGTGGATTCGCACCCAGATCCTCAAACACGTACCGGCAACCTATCTGCCGCGGGAGCTCTTGTAGTCACTCTAACAGGTGGTTCTGCTGGGTCTGTACCCATTAATCCAGTTACCGGCGGGATCCAAGAATCCAGCCAAGCTTCGCTTTTAGGTACGGACCAAGACCATGGATCCGGCTCTGTGCCACGAGATTTGCAATATTTAAATGACAGTATGATCGTGCAGTTGCGCGCCCCTTCTATGAACAGTCCGCATGTATACCAAATTCTGGGGAGGATGTGTAGAACGCCAACGACATGCGTCAAAACGAGGCATCCGCCAACAGCAGTGGTCCCCAGCCGTCCGCCGTTGAAGGCACGCGTCCAAGCGTCGAAACAACCGCGGGCACACCATCACTCCGCGCCTTGCTTCAGCGCTCCTCCGAGATCCGTCGCGACAACGTTGAGGCATCTAATCCACCGCGTGTCGAAATGCCACGGCCAAAAGCAGTATCCATCAAAGATATTGATGCTTTGTATGAAGCTGGTGGTGACTGGAGTCAACTCGCCGCCTCAATTGAGCGAGCTCGCCCATACGTGCTGCCTCGTGTTCGTTATGTGATTATCATTGAGACAGGCCGCGCATTCCAGCGCACCGCGCCAAGCAAAATCCTCGCCTCGCTACTCAAGGACCATGGCAACCCCGTCGTCCAGCAGCAGATTGACCAACCGCAACTGGGTCAGCTGACTAAAATGCCTGGAGGTAACCTCCGCATTAAGATGAAGACAAAAGAAGCTTGCCAGAACCTCGCCGGTCAAAAAGTCAAGGTTCTCAGGGGTAGATACCGATTCGGCGAGTTACATTCTTGCCGACCGCTTCTATATTGATGTGTCGAGTGTCGACAGTGATTTCGACGCAGACCTCATGCTAAGACGTTTCTTCGAGCTAGGAGCACAGCCAATATACGGTATATTCCGAGATGTAAGTCTAGAAGCAATGATCACCACAGCCACGTGGCGGGTGTACTTCCGTTCTAGTCGGTGCCCTCCTGAGCTTATTGTACGCGGCTCTGTGTGCGACCAGCTCGTTTTTGCTGGCCGCATTTACTTATGCATGCTAAGAACGCCTCTTTTCGGACCCAGCGCATGTCGTTCGGTCAACGATCCATCCATGCGCTCGACCTGGCTAAATACGTTGCCCGGAGTTCCACTACCACCCGCGCCAGACCGGACCTAAATCCGACACGGCCATCAGATGCCATGGTGGTAAGTCGGAGCACAAATGAAACTTCGCTTCAGCGAATGCACCGCTAAAGCTCCACCAGAAACGCTACCATTGTTTCCGCAGCAGCTTCTATTGACGATTCAGCGCCTAGCGAGATCTCTCTTGGCGCTGCAGGCTCCCAGGCCGTGTTGCCACTGGTAGTCCGACTTTTTCTCGGCTACTTTTACCACCACCCAGCAATAGTAGCGTCCCAATTTGCGTTGCTGTTAACTACTGCTTGTAAGCGTAAAGGAAAGCGGTCGGGTGCTGATGGGGACTTTGCAAACATGCTGATGAAACCTCGTCCAACCCCCCTAGCCGGAGTTACAACAAGTAACTACTTCGACATCCCCAGCAAGTCGAGGTCGAGTTCGATTGTTTTCCAGCGATGCTCAATAAGGTTACGACCCCGCGCTTTCAGATCGTGCCTCGGACGGTACAAGCTCCGCGCGACATAAACTCTTGCAAAGGTGGTAAAGACTAATAAACCCATACCGATTCAAGAAATAGTCAGCGAGATGGAGGCTGCTGAAGAGACGGTTAACCTCCAATATTACCGGATCGCTTGGCTGCTGTCGATGCCATGGTAGATGGTCTTCACAAAGCACTCCGGACGACAAACAACGCTGACACGCTGACATTCATGAGCTCCGTCAAGGCAACCATGGCATTTAACACCGCGCTTCTACGGCAGATGCGCAAGCTTGATCCCCAACATTACCGGGATCGCTCAACTCCACATGATCAATCGCATTTTGAGCGCAGTCGATCCAACCACCACCAAAACGCTCGCCCGCAAATGGGCCAAGTATGTCGACACCAAGGTTCCCAAGACACGTGATGATGTATTTCGACGTGTTGCCTCATGGTGGAACAATTCAAATACAGCGATCATTACGCGTGCGACCAGAGCACTATCGCTCTTCGAGCTGATATTGATGTGTACAGCGCCCATGATCTTTAAAAAGGATTATTGGCTCCAGCGTCTGACAAAATGGTCAGTACCTTGGATCCCAGCACACAACAGACGTCTGCTGCACCCCAACATGTTGTTGGTGCTTCGCTCTCAGATCGGCAAGTACAGCTTTAAAATCTGGATAGAGGTCCAATGGCAAGGAGATATGCTTGATGACCTTGAGTATATTCGGGAATGCAATCACTTCTTCCCAGAGAATGCAGAAGTGTTGCGGCTCCAGCAAGCTGAAGGTCATTTTGTGCTTACGGCCCGAAAGCTTGCGCTGAACTACTAAGGTGATCCCAACGGTAGATGCACCCGAAGTGTCATGGCAAGATGTCAGCATGTTGACCGTCAACACCAATGGGATCAAGAACAACGGGTATCTACTCATTTATCACCTGATTGCAAAATATAGTCTTTCTTGCATCCAAGAAACCAAATTCCGCGATTGCCACCATCTTGATACTTTCCAATTCAATCTTCAATCCCGGTTCAAACACAACCTATTCGTCACGGTCAGTGCTTCACAGACAACACACCGATCTGGCAGTGTGATCACTGTAATCCGCTCTAAATTTCCAGGTTTCGACATAGCTACGGAGCTTCGAGAACTGACTGTGTTGGGACGCAATTTGGTCGTTCAACTGGTAGTCGCCAATGCTCCCGTTTATATCCACGACGTATACTCGCCAGTGGACGATCATGACAAAGCCGTTTTCTTCGACCATCTTCCAGTGGATCGTTTCGAAGACAATGCAACACACATCGTTCTCGGCGACTTGAA